AAAAAAAAAAACCCTGGAATAGCCAAGCAAGTTTGCAAGCATCCAGAGATTATTTCAAATAGAATTGAAATAATGAGAAAAAGAAGTATTGAAAATACTAGACTATATAAAAATTACATTCTTTCTAATAGCTCAGTGTGAAAGTGGAGCAGCTTTGAAGCTTGTTATGACTCCAGAGAGAAGATCTGAGAGTTAAGTCACTGCTTTCTACTCTGCTTATTAAAAGTTGGTGTTTGTTTACTGAATGACAGTGGCAAAGTAACTTTCAAGTGGACTGAATTATGTCATCTAGTTGTCTAAAGTCTAAAAACACATTGTATCCATAAAACTGAGAAACTGCCATGCCTATCTGAGAGCATGAAAAACTGCCTTGTTCACCAGTGTTGGTTCATCAGTGTTGCTATTGGAGGCTTTTTTTTTTTTTCCTTGTGGTACTAGGATTTGAACTCAGGGCCTAATGCTTGCTTACCACTTGAGCCACTCTGCCAGCCCTTTTTTGTGTTGGGTATTTTTGAGATAGGGTCTTGCTTTTGTTGCTTGGGCTGGCCTCAACTGAAATTCTCCTGATCCGTGCCTCCTGAGCAGCTAGGATTATAGACCTGAGCCTCTGGCACCTGGTGCTGTTGAGTTTTAAGGACCAGAAGGTAAGCAACACATTTTAACACAACCCAGAAGAGCCTGAACATAGCAAAGGTTGTGCCTTATGTTGGGGCCAATTTCCAGTGTTATCAGGATAGTGTGTTTCCCTGTAGAATGGAGTCTATGCAAGCTTAAATTCAAAAATAAATTCGAAGAAAACAGGTCATGGGTCAAAGTATAATCTGAAGAAAACCGAATGGCTCAGGTCCACTTAACCAAAACACTGAAGCTTTTATTGATCAGAATTACACTTGTCAAGGACCTGGGCGGTACCCTCCTCTTTATAGCACCATTCCTTCCCAGGGGGCATTTCACTAGCTGTCCCCAGATGAGCTCTAGACACATCCCAAGTACAGTCACATCAGCAAGAATGTCCAGGTGTACTCAGGGCTCAAATTTCTGGTTTAGTACCTCTTTTCCCACTACCCCCTTCTATGACACCAAGGTCTCACCCAGCAGGTACCTCTCCCCTCCCCACTCCCGGCAAACCTTGAAAACCTGAGTGCCTTTCACAACTCCTCTTTCTCAGCCCCCTTCTTCTGGAAGGCAGTCAGGATGTTCAAGCTCTTTTGGAGCTCTTCCTTCTTCCCATCACTCATCTTGTTCTTCTCAATCAACTTGGTGATCCGGGTCATCTCTAATGCCGGGAAGTCCTCACCTTGGTCTAAGACCTTCCCCATGATCTTCAGGTACTGCTCAGCCCACTTCTTCTCAGTCTCCTTCACACTGGCAAGGTTGTCCTGCCCCTGTTTGAAGAGGGCCTGACGGGCCTCCATGCTGGAGGCTTTGATGAACTCTCCTGCCAGGGCATCATACACAGGCAGGCAGCCAGGCATACCCAGGTATACCCCTTGCTTCTTCAGCCAGCGCTGGATGGCTCCAACTTTAACTGCTCCACTGTATGGCACTGGGTTTTCAAAGTCCCCATCCCGGAAGAGGTAGAAGACTGGGTACTTCTCTTTGTCCAGCTTGTATTTCTCACTCAGCTCTATGTTCAGCTTGTCACCATAATCTGTGAACAGAAACCAAAGATGAGGTGTGAGACCATGAGGAACTTGGGGCAGAACATTGCTCTGGGACCTGAGTGGAGGGAAAGAATCTTCTTGGCTGTAAAACAGTTCAAAGTGAGGTCTCACCATAGAGACGCTGGTGTGAATTTCTAACCTGGCATGTCCTGGTTATGTGGCATTAGTCATTTTCTCTCTCTGAATTTCCTTCATCAGGAAAATGGGCTCTTCTGAACATTTATTATATGTCCACTCTGTGCCAGAAACTGCTGTGGGTATGAGGACCTAGTTTTGACTTAAACTGACTATCAAGCTCTCTGACCTCAAGGAGCTCACATTCTAATGGTGAGAAGAGAGGTAGTAAACAGGTGACCTGTAAGCAATTAGTGCCAGGATGAAAATAAAACAGGGTGATGTGATAGAGTGTCTAGGTAGAAAAGCCTACTACAGGCAGTCATGCAAGGCCTCCCTGTGGAAGTGACAGCAGCTAAGGGACCTTAATGTTAAGGATTCAGCCACATGACACCCTGGGAAGAGTGTCTCAGGGAGAAAGGACTGAAGGGTCAACAGTGTGTGCTAAGACTGAGCTTGGAGGTCAGGATGTAAGGATTACCAAGGCCAGTCCTGTGGCATGTAGGAAGAAGGGCCACAGGTCCTGGGCAATGAATGCAGTCTGCCGAACGAGGGCTGTTGGGAGAATCCATGAGAATGAGACCTGCTAATTAAATGCTTAGTATGCAGCAGCTGCTGCTGGTACTTGTGACATTCTTCCCAACGGGCAGTAGTCCCAAGGGTTGATACTGTGACAACTGATTTCTTACACTTTAGCAAGAAGAAATTGCCAAGACAAGTATGATTGGGTGATAGTGTTGGATACCTGGGGTTCAAAACCTAGTTCAGCCATGTAACAGCTCTTTGAACCCAGGGTCTCGCACTTGCCAAATCTCTACCACTGAGCTATAGCTCTATCCCTTTTTATAATTTTGAGACAGTGTCTCACTGAGTTGCCTAGGTGGGCCTTGAACTCATGATCCTCCCAAGTAGCTGGGATTACAGAAGTACACTAGTACACATCAGTTTCTTGATTTGAAAAACGAGGGGAAGAGTACCACAGTGCTTCCTTCATCGTTGGCACGAGGATGAACAGATGGCCTAGCATGGAGTACAACTATCATTACTGCTATAATTCAAAAAGCCCCGAGGAAACTGAATGGAAGGTGACTCAGCTGACCAACTGCCTGGGAGAAGTATACCAGCCATCTCTACCATGACCAGACCCCGGTGAGGTCCCAGCTCACTAGGGAATAGAGGAGTCTTAGCTGGGACAAGCGAGAGGCTACTGTGCCCAGGATAAACATATATATGGAGCTGTGGACGAGGCCACCCTGTGGCCTGAGAAGTCATGTAAGCTCCGTGAACATCAGTTTTTCAAATATTAAATGGAGATAATACATCTTGCCTCTCAAGCAGGGTTCAAGTGAAGGTTAAAGACTCAATGCCTGTGCAGATCTTTATAGAGACTGTAAACCACTAAATGCTAGTGATAAGTATTACTAAAGCTGGCATCGTGGTTCAGAGCTGCCCTTAGATTGGTGGTAGTACAAGTGCTTTTTGAATTATAGCCACAATCCAATAGTTTTGGTAGAAAAGCTGAAATGAAGTGAGAACTGACTGCCATCTCCTCTGCCCCGTCCCCTGCAATGGGAACTCACAGTAAGTTTAATGTCAGCCAGGTGGAGGTGAAGGAAGAGAGCAGGCAACTGTAAGACTGAGCTGAGGTTCCAAGGGCTCAGAATCTGCTCAGGCTAAGCTTCCCATGGGCACCAGATTCCTTGAGAGGCCATAAACCCACTTACCCTTGTGAGTACCCACTTTTCCTACTCTTCCCTCCAAGTAGGGAAACAATTCCTGGCTTCCTCCCTCTCTGCCCTCCCCAGTCACCTTGGACTTGTCCATACCTGAGATCCCCACCTCTGCCACCAAGAGATCATCGCTGGAGGCCGAGTTTTCAGCCAGACGTTTGAACTCATCCTGCTTCTCACCGTACGGGTACTGGGTGTCGAACTTCACCAAGACGAACTTGCTTTTGGGAATTACCTGAGGGCGCATAGAGCTGAGGAAGTGGGGTGTTCCAGGAACTTTTGGGGCTGATTCCCTTTCCCAAGGGGCCCCTGTTTAAGAGAGTAAAAACAAGCCTACAAAGGAGACAAGCTCTCATAACCTAATATTCATCCATTCACCCACTGCATCATTTAACAATTTAGTGGGGGCCTGCTACGGGCAGGCCATTAGGTACATGGGCACAGTAATCAACCCCTTCTAGAGTAAGCAATGTTGTAGATGAAGCTAAGGACTTCCCCTCCAGTGTCCCTTTCAGTAAAGCCAAGAGGACCTTAGCATGCACTCCAGAGTCCTCTGTCATGCCGGTCAGCCCAGGAGGTCTTTCTCAGTAAACACTTAACCAGAAATCTGACAAAAACAGTCTAAAAAGGGGTTGGTACCATTGAGGACTCTGGCTAGACAGGCCAGAATTTGAACCAGGTCATTCTGCAGGGCAGATAAGTTGGTGCGAGGCCAGGCTTGGGTCAATGTCTTCTCCCTACACCAGAATTAAGAAGTTCCCTTTGGCTAGATACCTAGGTCTTAAGCTGTCAAGGCCAACAAAATGTTTTAATTGAAGTAAAATTTATCTAACATAAAATCCACCATTTCAGAGCATATGATTCAATGTATTAACAGTGTTATGTTACCATCACTACTATCTAGTCCCAGAAAATTTACCACCTGGAAAGACTTGTGCCCATTAAGCAGTTCAGTTATCCCTGCCTCAGCCAGTCTATGGATTTGCCTATTCCGATGGAATCACAAAACATGTAGACTTTTGTGTCTTACTTCTTTGCTTTAAGATTTAAGATCTGTTCAGGTTTACCATGTATCAGTACTTCATGCCTGGTGTGTGTGGTGGGGACTGAAGTCAGGACTTCCTTGCGCTAAACAAGTGTTCTACCATTTGAGCCAAACCTCCTGCTGTTTGCATTGTTTTTTGAGATAGGGTCTTAATACCTTTTTGCCAGGCAAGGCTAACCCTGAACTTTCAGTCCTCCTGCTGCTTCTTCCCAAGTAGTTGGGATTACAGGTATGTGACACCACACACAGCTTAGAACTTCATACCTTTTTATAGCCAAATAAGCCATGTATCAGTTAATAGATATTTGGGTTGTTTCTACATTTTGGCTATTATGGATAGTACTGCCCTAAATGCTCAGATACCTGTTTTTATTCGAATACCCAAATTTAATTCTCTTGTGTATACTAGGCATGGAACTTGAGGTGATATGTAAGTCTCCGTTTAGCTTATTGAGGAACCAAAGGGCTTCCTTTTGATGGTTTCACCCAGTGTACAAATTTTATTTAACAAGCTGCCTTCCCCTCTTCCCACAACATTTTGCTTCTCTAATTCAGTGATCACTGCTGTCAGGTTTCTATCACAGGCAATCACTACATGTAATTAGTCTAGCTGAAGTGACAGAACTTAATGTCTTTGTTGATCCTTACTGTGTACTGATGTCTATCCGGGTTTAGCTGGTTTTTTTTATTTTTTGGCAGTACTGGGGTTTGAACTCAGGGCCTTACGCTGGCTAGGGAGGTCCTCTACCACTTGAGCCACTCCACTAGTCCTTTTCTGTATTGCGTTTTTTCGAGATAGGGTTTACAGACTATTTGCCAGGGCTGGCTTTGAACTCAGGCCTTCTGATCTCTGCCTCTTAAGTAGCTAGGATTATAGGCATAAGCCACTGGCAGCCAGCCAGACTTTCAGTTTTTGAGAATTATTAACACTGTCTAGGGATATGAAGAAGACACCAACAGAACAGGTCATCTTTAAGTGGTCCCTGATGCCCAAAAAGTCTGAGCTTTTGGGGACCTAAAATCAGGGAAGTCTTAAAATATAAATCAGATACATCCCTCTGGTCCAATTGGCCTTGTTTCAGTTCAACACATTACACGTCTTCCCACTCAGGGCTTTTTCATTTGCTCTCTGCTGGCTGGAAAGCCTTCTCAGTTCTCTGTATGGCCCTCTCTTTATCATTCAAGGCTCAGTTCAAATGTCCCCTTCTAATGGAGATGATGCTTCTTCATTCCCTTCATACTCTCCCATGTGATGAATTTTCTTCACTACATCCATCACTGTCTGAAATCTGTATCTTGTTTTTTTCTGTCCTCTCCACTAGAATGTACACTCACAGGAGTATGGACTGTGTATGACCTGTATTTGGCTGTAACCCTAGGGTCCCCCAGTGTCTGGCGTATGGCAGATGCTCTGAAACTATATGTACGAACAGAACTCTGGCAGAAGCTACATGTCCAGGGAAGAAAGACTTAAAAAAAGCACAACACAGGATCCCTACCAAGGGACCTACAGTAGGATGGGACAGAGCTCAGTGCTGTGGTAGTTGCCCAGCATGCTCAAGGCCCTGGGTTGGATCCCCAGCACCACAAAAGAAGAGGGGGAAGGCTACACTTGCATTATAGAATAATACTAATAACATACAGTGGCCTAACGCTGAAACAGAATTGAAGTCTCCGTCTTTCACTTGCACCCTTTTTTGCTAAAAGGGTAAGGCAGAGTGGTTTGAATGGCAAATAGCTGCATAAATGATTCTGTTGCTGTTATTTTATGCAGTCTGTGTATCTCTCTCCCCTCTCTTGTTTGGCAGTACTGCATTTGAACTCATCCTTGTGCTTGAGCACTCTGCCACTTGAGCCACGCCCTCAGTTCTATCACTTAGTTGCTTTAGGACAAATTACTCTATCCTTGAGAAATCTGCTGTACTATTCTTATTGATAATCAGGCAACTTGCTTCTTCAAAGTACAAAGAAATTTTATTTTTTGCGTACTGGCATTTGAACTCAAGGCCTCATACTTGCTAGGCAGGCACTCTACCACTTGAGCCACGCCCCAGCATCTTTTTATTTTTATTGAGACAGAGTCTTGCTCTGTAGGTTGGGCTGGTCTTGAACTTGCTACGTAGCCCAGGATGGCCTTAAACTCAAGATCCTCTAGCCTCAGCATTCTAAGTGCTGGGATTACAGGTATGAATCACCACACCCAGTTAAAAGAAATTTTTTGTTCATTGAATAAAAAGTTACATATACCTGACACTATTCTACAAGAACACAGTAGTGAACAGGTTTCCTATCTAATGGAACTGACATTCTAGTTATGGTAAAAGGCAAGAAACAAGCAAAAAAAGATGCTGGAAATTCCTGAAAGGCAAAGTATGGAACAGGCTGCTTCAAACACCAGGAAACTCCCCTTATGTTTGATGGTGATGGAAGAGAGTGAGATGTGGGAAAAGACTGGAGAAAACACCTGTTCATTCACACAAATTATTTATTGAGCACCTTCTACGTGATAGGTAACCATGCAGATGATCAGGAACCAAAGCATGTAATATTCTAGTGTGAGAGATAGATAATAAAACTGATAAGGAAAAAAAATCAGTGAAGAGTGCCCTGAAGAGAAACAAAACAGGGTAATGCGACCAAACTTCAGCCTAGAGGTGTAGAAAACCAAGGATGTGCAAATGCACTTCAGCAGTAATGAGCAAGGAATATTCAAAGGACAGAAGGAAGGCTTCTAAGGCTGGAGCAGAGGGGACAAACAGGAGAATAATTAGGAGATTAGAGGGGCTGATCATGTAAGGTTTGCTACTGTGTGGAATCTCAAGGTAGAAGCAGGGAGGACAGTGAGGTGGTGACTGTAATGATGGACCCTCATGAACCGATTAGGAAATACTGTTAATCTTGTGCAGAATGTCTCTTTGTGTCATATTTGTGTTGTGATGTTACCAGATTTCAATGGAGTGGGGAGGAAAAGTGGTGTTACTTGCCATCCAAGGACCAAAAGCGTAGCATGATGTGGGGTGCACCTGACAACCAACTAGCCATACCTACACTGTAAATTCCTGAAACTTTGCCTTGAATGAGCTACAAGTGGCCAGACCACACCAAGCAACACTTTCAGAAACAGAAGAGTTCAACCACTTGAGAAAGACACTTTGGAGTTCCATTTCTTGGTTTCACTTCCCTACAATGGGTACAAAATAAGAAAATAAAACTATCTTTCAACACTTAGCTTGTCCATCTAGAAGTTAAAAGCTGTTGGTGGCTGGAGACAGGTGCAAGAGCAAGGGGTTGGGAGGAGCGGGGTGCATTCAGCATTCACATTTCCACCCTCTGTTTACTCAGACCAGGATCCTAAATTGTGTAAAAGGGGAATGGGAGGGCGTAAGGGCAATTCTTCCACTCCTTGACCCGATTTTGTTCATTTAATTCCCAGATCCAGGATGTTCCTTACAGGATGGCTCAACTGTAGCTTATTCTTAACGATTGCACTTTCCAAGGGACTGGTTGCTATGTGAACATGGTTTGCATATTTCAAAGCAGGCTGCAAACCATCCTCTGATAAGAGGGGCACTGAAATGCATGCTAACATGCGGAGTTCGCCACTCCCACCCCAGTAGCGTCGACCTCGCCCCGCCCTTCAGTCATCCACTTGGGACTCGAGGATTGGATCTCGCCCACGCACTGTTCAGTCGCCACAGACAACGGGAAGGGGCACTCCAACTGCACCTTTGCAGCTTTTTTGCCTAAGCAGCAGCAAGAACCAACGCTGCAAAGGCAAGGCTGTGCCAGGACCGTGGAGAGTGTATGCTCTATGGTCATGGTACGCCCCCTAACCCTGACTCCACTGGGCCTATAGGATGGCTGGAAGCCCGAGATGATTGCTACAAACCCACCTGCTAGCCCTTGGTGCCCAACGTCCCCGACGGGGGCGCGATCCCACCAGTGCCCTGGCTGCACCTGTGCGTAATGTCTCCCGCTCCCGTTACCTTGTAGAAAGTGATTGTATCCAGGGGAAGGGCGCCCTTAGTGTGCAGGCCGCTGCCGCCGTGCGGAGCGGAGAGGAGCAGCAGGCCCAGAAGAAGGGGAAGCAGTGGGGAGAGAGAAGCAGCCCGAGACACCAAGGCAGCCATAACGCCGAATTCCGAGAGCGGGCGGTGGGAAAACTGTAGCGAGAACGCGCCGCGTCGATGGTCACGTGACCGGGAGGGCGGGCCCGCGCGCGCATGTGGATAACCCGGGTAGGCTCTTGCTGATCTAGGGTGAGAGGGAGGGGCTGGAGGAGTCACGCATGCGCACTCTGCGATACCCGGCCGGCCCAGGGCGACGGAGGGGTCACGTGAGCAGATGGGCGGGACGGAAGTGGGACTGCCGCGCACGCGCACTCAGAAAGGTTCGCCGAGGGTCAGCGTTCGTCGCCGCGTGAGGAGACGCGCGAAGCTTGTGCGCCGCGATGCTTCAGGACTTTCTTTGCTATCTTTTTCCTCCCCTTCGGAGACTACGAGGCAGTACTTCCTGCCTTGCTGCCTTTGGTCCGTCAGGCGGTTCCTTGGGACCAGTCACCACCTCGGGTTAGACAGGCAGACTGTGCCCCCCGCTCCGCTGACCCCTGTGCGCCTCGGTCAGACCGCGCCCCTCCCTAGGCCTCTGTTCCGACGCTCGTCAGAGCCGGCTGTTGGCAGTCAGAGCCCAGTCAGGCCTGTCTGGGGCGAGTGTCTCACCTGGGAGGCGTCAGGGTCCTGTAAAAGCAGGCGTGGCTGAAAGATGAAAACTCCGCCGTCCATGTTCTGGGCTCCAGAAAGACTGAAAGCCTTCTATTCTGCCCACTTTTCAGCCGCGCTTCGCGGTGCACAGCTGTAATCCCAGCACTAGGGACGCTGAGACAGGTGGATCCCAAGTATGAGGCCAGCCTGGGCTGCAAAGCCAGACGCTGACTCCAAAAGAACAAAAGCATTCCTTTTCAAAGTACTTAGCATAAAGTAAGACTGCAGTATTGTGAAAACAGATTTGGGTGGATTAAGAAAATGTGGTATTTATATACAGTGGAATTCTGTTCAGCCACAAAGAAGAATGAAATTTTGTCGTTTATAGAAAAATGGATGGAACTGAAGAACATTATCTTCAGGGAAGTTAGCCAGACCAGAAAGCCAAAAAGCCACGTTTCCCCTCATGGGGAATATAGACCTAATACAAATACAAGCAATATTATGAAAAACTGGTCATGCTAAGGGGAGGTCCCATATGAGAGGAGGAGGGTAAAAGAAGGAAGTTAAGGTGGATATGGTTGATGTACTTTCTATACAGGAATGAATACAGAATTTTTAAGCCTGTTGAAACCACCATGAGACTAAGGTAGAAAGCAGAAAGAGATGAACCAATTCCGGTTATAATACGTATATACATGGGGACGTCACAAGGAAACTCCCTGTGTAGCTATCTTAAACATCATTTTTTTTCCTTTTACAAAATCAGAACGGGATGGCAGAACAAGTCCTGTCTGGGGCGGGGTTGGAACCAGTGGGAGGAGGAGTTGATGTGGGAGGGTGAATATGGTTCAAGTACTGTGTACAGTACTGGAATGTGAACTCAGGGTCTTGCTTGCAAGGAAAGCACCCTACTATTTGAGCCTCACCTCCAGCCCTTTTTGTTGTAGGTTATTTTTTGAGATAGGGTTTTGCACCTTTTTCCTGGGGCTGGCCTCAGACCCCAGTCCTCCTACCTTTGCCTCCCACTTAGCTAGGATTACCGGTCTGAACCACCACTGCCCTGCTCAAGAAGTGACAACTCTTTAAAGCATCAGCTTCTTCATCTGTAAAATGGGCTTAATTCTACTTCTTACCTCAAAGGTTGTGTAAGAATTAGAATGCTTAGCATGGAGCCTCACACAAAGACAGCACTTGAAAATTGGCAACTATTAGAAATATTTTGAAAGTATTACTCTTAGAAATCTTTTTGTTTACATAAAATATTTTTTTATTTGAGTGTTTTTCTTTACATTCACTTGAGTAAATTGCTCATGGTAGAAGTTTAATGAATATGTGAATTTCAACTGATTGATATGTATAATACCCATTACATTGAGTGAGAGCAGGGATACGTTTGAACTTGCTAAGGGACTTTTTACTAAAAAGAGAAAAAGAGGAAACTGAGAAATACCACCTTTTTTATTTTTGAGTCTTGGGTTATCCCGGATAGAAAAGGAAGATGGCAAGGTCTTGCTTCCAGAGAGACTCCAAATGGGAAGGCAGGGTTTAATTTAGTGAGGAAACCTGAAAAGTAAACTTCTAAGTGTTGGAAGGTGCCATAGACATTTTAGAAGAGATAAAAGGGAAGACTTCTGAGGTTATATTATCAAGAACAGCAGACTGGTTTGGCGTGGCTGTTCTCTGAACAATTTGAAATTTGTTCTTGACTCAGACAAGAGTCTTTTGTCCTAAAGCATTTTCTTATCACTTGGTGTGACTGTCATTAATATCCTCACCCTTATTAGGTAGACATGATTAGAGACCTCAAAACTTTCCCACGACATTTAGCTGGAGGTTTCCGATCTAGTGTTTTTGTTTGCTGAACAATTTAAGCATAGTTATTAAAATAATCTTTATTTCACAATGTCTGATTTCCCATTTCAGATTATAATATTTACTTGATAGGAATGTCATGTATTTAAATTACTCCAGCCACACAAATGATCTAATTTATGTTATTAACAAATATTAGGTGTTTAGGCATATAGCTCCACAGTGGAGTGCATGCTTAGTATTTCTGAGGCCCTGAGTTCAATCCTCAGCACCACATACAAAAAGGAAATATTTACAGAATATGTGTAAGTATAACTAAATATAAATGATTATGTAAGTGAGTTCTTTCTTTTGCTTTCTCTTTCCTCCAGTCTTGCTTTGTCGGAATTTTACTGGTCCTTCCAAATCTTGTTCACATGCCACTTTGTATATTACTCTAAATGAATCACTTGAGTATTAAAGTCATTTTTCCTACTATATTATAAGCTCCTGAAAGGTTAGGTCTGTATCTTGTTTATTTTTATATCTCCTGCTTTGCACAACAGTAATATTTAAGCATGAGTACATTAAATGAATAGTGTAATTTAATAATACAAATTATTAAATTTTAATAATTAAACTTATTAATAATAATTATTAAATAATAAATATTAATTATTAATAAAATTAATTTAACTTTGAGTTCAGAATATTTAAGATATTAGTATTAAATAGGACAAACATTAAAAACCTCCTGTCTTCCTAACTGTACTGTGCTTACTAAAACTTTATTAGTCTCTCCTTCTATCTAAACACAAGGGGCAAGTTTTAAGCAAATATCCCTTCTGCCCTATTTCTTTGTTTTCCTTTTTTTCTGTTCCATTTCTCTCTTGCAGCTGTATTTATCTTTTCACTATGACTCATTTCTTTCTGTTCCTTTTGATTACTCTGTCTCTTGCCCCTTCTTAGCATTCCTAATGCTTCTTACCACTTTATTTCCTTGTCACCTGTTCTTTCTATTTTTGGACTTTCTCTTTGGCTTTTTCCTTCACTTGTCACCACCTTGCTCCTTACCCTCAAGGGACAGGGCAGGATTAGATAGGGAGGAGCCCAGTTGAGGAAGAGGTGGAGCTACCTGTTCACTGCTTTGAGCTTTAGAACCTGATTGAGAAGGATTGCTGCTTGAGGGTACTGGGACTGAAAGTCCTTATGGCTTTCCCACTGGAGGCTAGCACTCTAGAGGACAAATGGGACTCTGTAAGATCAAAAGCTGTTTCTCTCTCTCTCTTTTTTTTTTTTTTGCTTACCCTTTGTTCTGTATTTTTCATTCACGGAATTGCTTTCCATACTAAGTTTTCTTCTTTCTCTGTCTTTATCATTTACTATTCATTTGTCCTGTCTTTCTAGCTCTCTTGTCAGTCAACTGTACATAGTAGTACTTGTCTTTCTTTGTTACCCATTCTTTCCATACATATGTCTTTTCTTTCTCATAATTTAACTTTTTATACCTCTTCTCCATTTTATTAGTTTTCTCATTCAACTTTCTTTTTTCATTCAGTCTTTTTGTTTTTTTCAGGGCCTTGCACATACTAGGTAAATTCTATACCTCTCAGCTACATCCCCAGTCCTTGGTTTTTTGAGACAGAGTCCCCTTATATATCCAGGCTGTCCTTGAACTCATTATGTATCCCAGACCTGCCTTGGGAGCACAGGTGTGCACCACCATGCCTGGATTCCGTCATTTTCTATCCACTGCTCTATTAATTTTACTATTAAACAGTAAAAATTTATTGTTTCCCAGAGAAATGGACATGAGAGAGAGACAAAGGAACCACCCTACCTTCTCAGAGATCTGTTCAACCTTTTTACTCATTCTCAAACTGGTAGTATATTTTGATTAGGCTTTTGAAGGAGAATTTGTGCTAAAGAGATGGCTAACAAACAGTGAGATTGGAACTAGGTTAATATTAAATGAAAAAGTTTAATTTTTTCTTTCTTTCATTTAGGTTTTTTCCACAATACAGTGGATACAATTTTTCATGGCTACTCTGAGGTATGTTTATTTAATCTCAAACAGCATGACTGTCTAAACTAGCATAAGCAAAACTGAAGAATTCTGCAGTTTTCTATATTTTCCTCCCAAGGGAAAATGCTTTTACTCTGAAGTTAGAAATTATATTCTTTACTGTGTTGAAATAGTCTGACTAATAAACTGTAACATCAACAACAATAGCAACAGAATACATTGAGAGCTAACATCTGAAGTCAGTGGGCATCCTGGTAAACAGAGTTCATTATAAAACCAAGAGCAGGGCTGATGGAGTGGCTCAACTGGTAAGAGCGCCCACCTAGCAAGCATAAGGCCCTGAGTTCAAGCCCCAGTACTGCCAAAAAAAAACCCAAAACCCCAAAACCAAGAGCAGGGGGAGGTAGAGGGGATGAACCACACTGGGGTACAACGTATGTATATGTGGGAATGTCACAATGAACCCCAAATAACTATCATGTACTAATGAAAACATTTAAAAATAAAACCAACAGTAAAGTGCTCACTTCACATATATTAAAAATTAGAATGATATGAAGATTGTCATAACTCCTTGACAAGGATGGCGTGCAAGTTTATGAAGCATTCTACATTTTAAAAAATATGTGTGGCTTATTTTATGTCATTCATATCAATCACA